ATCGGAAGATCTCCTATGGATTTCAGCAGAGATGCTGCATTTTGCGATGAGAGGACCATTTCATATGATAACCTGCTAATTTCACTGAGTGCTTCATCCCAAGCTTCTACACATAGAGGGGCCTGACATATACAATGCGCCAAGGCATCCGAGTAAAGATTTCGTATTCATACAAATTCTAAACTTGAGTTGCAATGGCATATTTTTTTCCATCGGTGCTGTTTTATTGCAATTGCACGGTTTAACTGGATTCACTGATACCTTGTAGAGCATCAGGGTGTCGGTTGTTAGCTTGGCAGTGTCACACCATGCACGGCGGCTCACCACCTGGGTGATTTCGGTTCGTAAGAGAGGACGGACCAAGTGCTTCTTCCTGAGAGATGTGTAGAGAAGTATCCTTGCAAAGGGAGGAACTACTTCTCTTGATAAGCTAACATTCAGCAAAACAACTCCTTTTATTGAAATCTGGATTATGTAGCAGATGCTTTTATAAGTAACAATATTACTCCTTTTAGGCAGGACAGTGAATTTGAAGAGTTTACTTACACTGTTGTTGGATGTTGGTGCTTGGACTCTTTCTGCAGCCCTAAGAGCGAGCAAACCTCCATCATCATGACCAACAAGAACCACAGAAGAAAACCCCATTTCGGAACAGAACGAAAGAAGCAAATCAACCTGTGAAATGGCAGAAGAGATGCAAGAAGTTAGAACATTTCCACTATTCCAGGAGTACCCGTGAGGTTTTTACCAGTTCACATGGCAGAATTACCTGGCTTTCAAGCATGTAAGGATTGGGCAGATCTTTTCGGAATAGCCTTGATGTCAATCCCCAACCAGGCCGATCAAATGCAGCAACTGGACAACAAAGCTGCTGAGACAATTCTCCCATAACATGCCTCCATTGAAAGACTCCTCCTCCAAAGCCATGGACTAGTACGACACCAAAACGGCCATTTCCATCCAAAGGACCCGTTGGTGATGTAGAACCCAGTTGATGATTCACATCATTGTTTTGATAGGTGTGAAACATACTAATGGGAGAAGTCAGATAACTGTTCAAGAGAGGATCGTATAAAGAAGATTTGTCTAACTGAATGCTGTAGCTTCTATGCAGATGATGGCGTCGTGGTTGTGATGTCACATTTGACACCTGCTTGTCGAGCCTCAGCCTTCTCACACCCGTTTCTTGTGTGGACAGATTATGAGGAGGAGGACCACATGGTAAGCAAAGCTTGTAATGGAGGGTTAACCCTCGGATTGTGATGAATAAGCTGTCAGGACCAGCAAGCGCTCTCGGCTGAAGTCCTTCTTCTCCTTTCCAAGCTGATGCCGTCCCTCTGAAAGGATTTCGCATGAGTTCACTGTCATACATTAGCATTTTCTCGCTCGAGAAAGTGAGAGATCTCCAATGAGCCTTCTGGTAGCCAGAAAACCCCATTTTACATGACAGAACCTGCAATCATAACTAAGGTCAGTTTCAATTTCATTTTGATTAAGAGAAGCAAATGGATAAACAATCGATCATACTGCTTCTTGGTCGATTTTGTGATACAGGAGCTTCCTTCTTGCTCGGCATTTTGCTCGATAAGCCACGAAAACATGAGTGAAACCGAAAATAACGAACGAAAGAAGCAAGATCGGCATCCCCCAGGAGTTCTTGAGGTGGGCCTTTGGCCATTCAACTGAGGATGAGGATGAAGCTTCTTCTACCTCCATGTGAGTGAAAACACAAGCTTTAAGCGAAACAAGAAGAATCGAACCAAAGGAACACAGCGACACCATTCCTAGGTAAGGACCGTGAGCTACTGCCGGGTCATGGCAGAGATACGAGAGACCTGTTTGTTGATCATATGTGGTTAGAAGTTTCCATTTTCCTTGAAGAACAAGTAACATGCTTTTGCTTGAAAAAGCTTTTATACAAAAGAAAAAACTTTTTTCCGTACAGATAAATGCGAGAGATCTGAAGGAGGAGACAAAGGGTACATCGATCAGTGAGATCCTGAAACTGTACTGACGGAGATGATCCCCAACACCGCAGCACGTGAGGCACGTGAGGCTGGAGATGACGGCCCACGTGACCGCCACGTCCGCCACCGCCACGAGCACAGGCAGCGACGAGGCGAGCAGCGACGCCGCCATGGCCACGACGAAGAACATCGTCCGCAGTCCTCTCCGAGCCTTCTCCGCCAACTTCCACGGCGACATTTCCACTTCTCCGATCACAGATTCTGGTGTTTGGCACTTGGAGCAGCGAAAGCACATCAATAAGAAGAGATCAACGATTTTCGTCTTGAAGTCATTGGACTGACGGAGCTTCACAGACGGTGATGAGCTATCGCCGGAGCTCCGAGCATTCTTGGGCGGCGGTAGGGTTTTCGTGGAGCAGTGAACTGTTCGTTTTCTTCTGGAGGTATCGCCGTCTATCGTCTGAGATGCAGCTTCGGGACAATTCAATGTGGGTTTTGCTTTATATACGGATTGTGTTCGTATTCGGACAAAAAGACACAGCTTTCTGATGTTATAATATTTTTAATTAAAAAAAATAGATTCTTTCTATAACCGATTATTATACACATTGAGGGGCAAGCAAATTGTCTTCTGTATGTTCTTCTATAAATACATAGATGTGGTATATATGTACCATATATCTTCATATAATAAAATCAGTTTCCAAATTATATAGTTAAAAAAGAGTTGAAACAAGAGATTTTCCAGTTTGGGTTCCAATTTTTCCTTTTCAAAAATTATAATCAATTTTTATATATGATTTTAGTTCGATTTGATTTTCATTTTGATTTGATTTATAGAAAAATAGTTTTCATATAAACAAAAAAAAATCATGGTTTTTGATATTATATTTATTATACCCTCATTTTGGTTCGATTACATGAAATCGACTCGACCTGTCCCAATAGCTCAAAATTGTATATTAACCAAATCTGATTAAAAGATCCAATAAAATAAATATAAATAATTGAAAAAACGAATTCGAAAAATATATAATTTTATCAATAAAATCACATTCAAAATGGACTTAAACAAAAAAAAACGGAATCGAACATAATCCAACATAAAAGTCAAATATATATACTTTTGTAAAACCTAGAAACCCGCGTACAGAAATAATCAACCGTACGTAGTTTTTATAAAATGTAAAAAACCGAGTACGAAAATAATCGAATCGAAAATCGAGATGTTCTCCACTTATAATAATAATAATAATCATAAAGGAGAGATGCTTATAAATTATAATCATATGATTAAGGGCAAAATATAAAGTAAGGTGAAATTAAATGATAAGTTTGTTGGACCAGCGGCAGCATAATGCCACAAAAGCATGTGGAAGTTGTTGGCAGAAAAAAAAAAAACAACAGCTCTTTATCTCGTCTGTCTTTGTCGGCTTCTTCTCCCCCTCTCAATGATCATTAACCAAAAATGCAAAAAAAAAAAATAGAAATCGAATAATATAATGTCATTAATTTAAAGTACGTATTTTTATCATCATTTAATATTTCAGTAGGAATATAAGCAATCGAATAACGTATTTTTTTTTAACCAATTCATATTATATTCAAATTGTATACAATAACAATCCAATAACATAAAAAATATATTTAAAAAATAAATATTTCAAAACCCAAAATTCAACTATTATCCAAATAAAATTCCAATCGGGCCAAAACCAATATAAATATAGTTTTTTAATAAATATATATATATAAAAAATTGAATCGAAATAGAATCAACCCAAATATTGGCCTGATTTGCACTAAATATTGAACGTTGTCGCTAAACATTTCCGAACCAGACACATCTTGTGAAATTTTCGTTTGGAGTTGTGCTGCATATCGTTGAATTTTGTAAAAAGTCAGTAAAATCAGTAAATGTAAAAGCAATTTATAAATGATATATACATATATATATATATATATAATCTATTTTTTGAATATTCGATTCGATATGTGAGTCGATATTCGATTCAAGGGCTACGTCATAGAGGGGGTGTACATTCCATGTCTCGGTTTTGTTTTGGTTCCACCATGGTTGAGTTTTGGACTCCCCAAGTCCATGGATACGTCTTTTCTAATCTCGAAAATATCTATAACCTTATCCACACCCTTTATTAATAAATATAGCTATTTTTTATATATATATATATAACGCTTATAATAAATGAGCCAAAAACCTGGTTTGTCTTATATATAGGTATCTATTATAGGTGTTATAGTTTTAGATCTAGAGAAATTTATTTTTATGAAAAAAAATCTAAATACAATCAAGATTTGAGTTCTATAATTTCTAAAAATTGTTAGCGTAATACAGAACAAAATTTTATCTAGATCCATGTTCTGCATAGGAATAGATTTGAAAAACAAGATGATTAGGGATTGATTTTATTAATTGGTTTTAGATTGATAAAAAAAAATAATAAGTATTTAAGCATTGTTTTACTTTTGTAAAAAAAAAAGAGGGAGGAGGAAACTAATTTATAAAAGTAGCAATAATTTCTAAATTATCTATTAAAATATGACCAAAATCTTAAAAACACAAACTAGATAGTTATTTTTAAGGAAAAGAAAATAGAAAAAACAAAAAGTTACCGTAGTAAGCAAAAAGCAATGATAAAATGTTATGAAGAGGGGGCCATATCCCATATGTAAATTGTTGGGTTGCCAAAATGTCACGAGCCACATCGAATTTTGGCTCTTCTTCTCACCTTTTGTACTTTTTGTGTGATTATCATTAGTCCCTTCTTTAATGTTTTTTTTTTTCACTTTATACAATGGTTGATATATATATAAATATACATATTATATGTGCATAATGAATTATTTATCAGATTAGAACGGTTTATTTATTAGACCAACCATATAGTATATCTAACTCGAAGGATACAAAGTTCATCCAATATATATAACACTAGAAACTTGTATTTGTCTCTCAATTTTGTACTTTTTACATGATGCTCACATGTAATCGTATGAATTGATTGAACAGTATTTTGCTTAAACTAAATTAATCTAATATAAAATAAATAAAAACGAGAATATATTTATAAATATGAATATACCGGGTCCAAACTTATTATTCGAATAGTTATCGAAATAAAATTGAATTTAAAATAAAAATCAGAACAAGAAAACAACCTTTTAAAATTCTGTAACAATTGTTCATATATATGAGATAATAATGGACTAATGTGCATGCATGCATGCAAACAAAAAAAAAAAGAGAGAAAGAATCTTTGAGCAGTGATAACAAAAACGACATATTCATCGTATTGTATAAAAAAAAAAAGGGACCATAATACGTACAACTGTTGGGTTTCATCATCAGAACTCAGAAGCACATGGACAAGGATTTAACGCAAACGAACGACGGACGATGATTTCTGTAATTTCCAACGAATATTTCGTTTTTGTCTTATTTCATTTCGTTCCCATCCCGAGATTTCACCCTTTTTTTTTGTGGTTACGAGTAGGGACTGAATTTTTTGGAATATCGGTTGTGTTTTGCTTCGATCCGAATTTCATTTGTTTTTTTTTTTATATTCACTTGAGATTTAGTTAATTTAATTTTTTTAAAAAAACGTATACAATCAAATTTGGTTCGAAAATATTTATATACGATTCGGTTCAGTGTCGCATATTACATCGTTCATATTAGTCGCATAGAATAAGTCATGAAACGTCCACATTCCCGTATGGAATAAATTTCTTGTGCATTTAAAGAAGATTTGTCGCCACATCTCTTCACCTCATCTTCTTCCTCAACCTCTCAACCCTCCCTCATCCTAATCTACCACCCCATGCCCAATCAAATCAAATGCATATAGCCAAATAAGAGTTTTATCTTCATATTTTTTTTGGATAACCAGAGCTAGCTAGATCCACATTAATTTTAGGATCGAAAATCAGCCAGTTGATTTAGAATATACGTTATATCTTTAAATTTGAAATTCGAAATCAGGAAGAGACAAATGTTTTGCGTTTCCATTTTACCGGTTGAAATATTCAAGTTTGGGTTAAACATTTCATTTTACTTTACAAATATTCCAAATTGGATTGATTTTGATATCATATATGTATGCGCTACAAAAGGATCGCACCAATGATGATGACAACTATCTCTTTTGAATGGCAACCAGTTTGCTGTTTCTGTTTTCTAGTTAGGATTGTAGTAAATTTTGACATTACATCATCCAAATCATTTCGCCGTTTCTCCACATATATATAATAAACCACACCACATTCAACCTTTTTACACTATATGTACCCATTTCCCGACCAAAACCGATTACAATGAAGAAGACAATCCTGCCGGAATCCGTCACCGTCTCCGGCATATCCCCGCCGCATACCGCCGTCGTGGACTATCCATGGTTCGACGACGCATGTATCCTCGACATGGACTACTTTGTCAAAACCATCTCCGGAATCAAAGCCAAAGGCGTTCGTCCCGACCTCATCGGCTCCATCATCGCTCATTACGCCTCCAAGTGGCTCCCCGATCTCTCCGGCGCCGGGAAATCTGTAATCTCCGACGACCCACTTCCCCCACCGCCGCAATCCGAGAGCGTTACGGCCTCCCTGATGAAGAAACGTTTCTTCGTCGAGACCCTCGTCGGGATTCTCCCGCCGGAGAAGGATTCCGTCCCCTGCAACTTCCTCCTCCGCCTCCTCCGGACAGCGAACATGGTCGGAGCCGAACCCAGTTACCGGTCCGATCTGGAGACAAGAATTTCGTGGCAGCTCGACCAGGCCTCGCTCAAGGAGCTCATGATTCCTTCGTTCAGCCACACGTGCGGAACGTTGCTCGACGTCGAGCTCGTGACTCGGCTGGTGAAGAAGTTCGCCGGATTGGACAGTGAAGGCGTCAAAAGCGGAGCGGCCCTAGTTAAGGTGGCGAAGCTTGTCGACTCTTACTTGGCGGAGGCCGCCGTCGACGGCGGCTTGAGTCTGCCAGAGTTCATCGCCTTAGCCGGAGCTCTCCCGAGTCACGCTCGTGCTACAGAGGATGGTTTGTACAGAGCCATCGATACTTACCTCAAGGTAAGCATTAACCCATTTCAGCAATCTTAGTTCAGATTAGGAGAGCGTATAAATGTGAATTTGGATTTTTGCAGGCGCATCCTCAGGTGTCGAAGCGAGAAAGGAAAGTTCTTTGCCGGCTCATAGACAGTCCAAAGCTATCAACAGAAGCCTCTCTCCATGCTGCACAGAACGAAAGATTACCAGTAAGAGCCATAATCCAAGTGTTGTTCACCGAGCAGACGAAGCTGAGCCGGCACGTGGAGTGGAGCGGCTCGTTCACCAGTGCCAGGAGCCCTAACCCCACCAGCTCGCAGTATTCAGAGCCAGGCCCGGCTCGATGTACGTCCAAACGGGAGATTAACTTTCAACAAGCCGAGATAAGGAGGCTCAAAGAGGATGTAGCCAGGCTGCAGAGCGAGTATGGAGCAATGCAAGCTCAGCTAGAGAGGCTGATGGAGAAGAAGGGTAGTAGTAATAGTAACAGTAATGGGGGGAGTAAAGGGTTCTTCCGGTGGAGGAGGCTCGGGATAATGCCTTCGATAAGGAGCGGAATCAGCGTCAGCGTGGAGAAGATAGAAAACGGCGGCAATGAGGAAGGATTCGAGACACCGGGAAATATGAAGACTAGGCTTGTCAAGGGAAGAACTACGCCTTCTCGCTGGAGAAAATCTCTGTCTTAATGCGAAATTCCCTGAATGCTCCTGGATCTCTAGTATACTTTCTTTGCAAATATCGCCGCACATTTTCGCTTATTAATCTTCTGTTCTTTTATGAACTCTCGCATTCTGATCTCTTGACCACTTTCTCTTCCGCACTCTTCTCCGGGGTTTTCTTGAAATCAGATCACAGTTCTGCCTTTTTATCTGTGGCTGTCTCTAGAATCTGTTCCATGCTGTTCTTTTTCTTGATGGTTTCATCGATTTTCTCGTTTGTGTCTGAGTCGTCCTTGTTGTTGTTTCCAGTAAACTCCGAAGCCATTTCCCTCCTGATTTCTTCATCCTCCTCTGGTTTCTTGTTCCTTAGGAACAGGAAATGCTCTAAAGCCTCTGTTTCATGTCATGCCATTCAGCTCATCCTCTAGCTTCTGTACTTCGGCTGTATATACATACATACATACATACATACATACATAACACACTTTTAAAAGATCTGCACTTTACAAGTTATGTTTTCCAATGCAGCATTGGATAAGAACATGTATGAACCCTCGAGTTCTTGTTGGATTTGTGCCTCAAAAATTCAAACAGACGGTTTTTCAAACGTTGGCAGTTATCCGAATTGTAGCTTTCGGTTTATGTATATGTGTGTGTGTGTGTGTGTGTGTATGTATATATAATGTACGTATGTATGTATGTATGTATGTATGTATGTGTGTGTGTGTGTATGTATGTATGTGAAGAAGTTGCAGACTCTGTTTTCTGGACAGAAAACAGAGCAAATCTGTTTGCATTGTTTCTGGGTTCCAAAGCAAAGAGTGAAGGAGAGATTCATTGTTTCGAGAACCAGCAGTCCTAACCCGCGGTCTTTCGAATGTAATCTAATGACCTCAAGGCCATTGGAGGGTTTCTCTTTAGATTCGCAGAAATTTCGCGGGAAATGCTCTTCCCCTGTTCACGGAATCAGTCCAACGAGGAGAAAAACCTTATACATAGAATCTGTAACCATATTTTCTTCAAGGAGAAGGGAAGGATTCTTATCCTAAATCAGAATTCAAAGAGCCAAAGACTGACAAGAACTGGTTCACCGAGATGCCCAGTTGAAGATCCTTCCATGGAACTTGGAACCAAAGCTTGTTCCGCTTGCTATTACACGCCCTGCCATTGTATGGTGTCCTCAGGTTTCTTGGGTCCCAAGCTATAGAGTATTTACTTAAACGACCAAACATCATCAAGCAACAACAAAAGCATCAGAAAACTCTTAAAGAAGAGTAAACCGATTATATTTACGCCACGTCAGCAGAAACGGCCCACGTCGGACTGCGCTCCTACGCGTGGGATTTAATAGTTTCTTCCCACAAATGATATTTTTATTATTAATTTTTTTTTTATAAATTGGGGAATTCCGTGACTACATACCTTACAAATGGAGACGAACTGACCACCACCCGCGCCTAACAATCCCCATGAACCTCAGTCCGTCGGACCTGGCCACCAGGCGCGCCTAACGCTCGAGCCGTAGTTGGGCTTAGGCGCCTGTGGGTCAAACCCCAAACCCACGCGCACGAACCTGCAACACACGCGTAGGAGGTAAATCAGCCCGTTATAACAGGCTGGCAGGCGAACAGGTCAGAGGAAGTGAAACGGCGAGGAATCGAACTCCCCACCTCATGGGTGCTCCCCATGCTCACTACCACCTGAACTGGGGCGAACCCCAATTATTATTAATTTTTTCTATTTAATATATTGTTTTCTCTAAATATATTAAATTTTTTGTTAATAATAATAAATTGATATATTAGATATGGCAACAAAAATGGTGGGCTTTTCTTCTTCTTCTCCGGATCAGCTCGATTTTTACATATAATTGAAAATATGAGTTACGTGACTTACAAGTAACATGTCACAATTAACAACAACCCTGACAGTGATGTTTTGTTTTCATATTCCTCTGGCATATTTGAGTATCAGCACGGGATTTCGGTGAAATTTTGGCTCCTAGTGCCAAGAATCACTTAACCCTAGATTCCTAGTGTCTGCATCTTAAAAATCATACGCATACATATATATATACACACACACACATGGGTACTGTGTATATCAGTCACTCCATATCCTTCAAACGTTGAAAAACAAGAAACCTTGGGGTTCGGCAATGGGTTCAGAGACTCTGCAGCTCCCAGTGATCGATTTCTCCGGCAAAAACCTTAAAAAGGGGAGCAAAGAGTGGGAGTGTACGAGATCTGATGTCCGAAAAGCCCTCGAGGAATTCGGATGCTTCGAGGCATCCTTCGATAAGATCCCTCTCCATCTTCGGAGGGAGATTTTCGGGTGTTTGGAAGAGCTTTTCGACTTGCCACTGCAGACCAAACTGAGAAACGTGTCCAAGAAACCCTTCCATGGATACGTGGGTCAGTACCCTCAGGTGCCTCTCTACGAAAGCATGGGCATTGATGACGCTGATCTTCCTGATCAAGTCCTCTCCTTCACTCAGAAGCTTTGGCCTCATGGAAATCACCATTTCAGGTATGTATCTTCACGAGTTTCCCGACTTCTGACGGGGTTTTCAATCGGGTATCCGAGTTTCGGGTACCAGTATGCGGGTTTGGTATCCACGAAAATAAGCCCTAACTTCATTGGTCCAGAATATTCTGAATAATGGTGATCTTTTCATTTGTTGGATGCAGCAATACGATTCAGTCTTTCGCCGAGCAATTATCGGAACTCGACATAACGATAAGGAGAATGACACTGGAGAGTTTTGGACTCGAAAAGTACATCGATGAACATCTGGAATCGACGAATTACCTTCTGCGTGCGATGAAATATAAAGGACCTGACACAGAGGAGACGAAGCTTGGCCTGAACGCTCATACCGATAAAAACATTGTCACCATACTTTACCAGAATCACGTCGAAGGGTTGGAGGTTCAGACAAAAGACAACAAGTGGATCAAAGTGAAGCCTTCCAAAGATTCTTTCATCGCCATGATTGGAGATTCTCTCTACGTAAGCTTAAGCCTTTCTGTTCCTCTAATCTTGATAAGAAAAAAAAAACTCGAAATGCTGACTGATGTTATATATAGGCACTGCTGAATGGAAGAGTGCACTCTCCTTATCACCGAGTGATGATGACGGGAAAGGAAGCGAGGTATTCTGCGGGATTATTCTCGATCCCGAAAGCGGGTCATATCATATATGCACCAGAGGAGCTCGTGGACGGGGACGAATATCCTCGGCTATTCAAGCCCTTTGATCATGTCGAGTTCCTCCAGTTCTATTACACTGAAGCTGGGCAGCGAGCTCAGTCCGCTCTCAAGACTTATTGCGGCATGTGAAGACGTTTTCGAGTGATTTTTGAAGTCATTCGTCCTTTCATGTGTTCCATATAAATAAATTGTTTACTATCTTATGAATGTTGTTCGCCGAAAACCAATCATTCGAATCTCTGAAATCGGATCTTAAAGATCGTATCCTTACAAATCTGACTATTGTTTAACAGGTCAATAAGATGTATATGTGCAATATTTGGTCTTTGCAATGAAACCAAAAGTATATAATGTTGCAAGAATACAGGACAGTAGTGTACCTGACAAAGTGAGCAGAACTAAATGCTCAAAACGGAGAGGAGTGGGATTCATATATGCATTTGCTATGTCGTTTGGCTCTTTGAGAATGGAACGTCGTGCCGTTCTGATGACGCTCACATGGCCTTCCTCAAACCAACCACATGGTCCACGTCAGCGCCTCGTAGATGAGGCGCGCCTACCTTCTTCTATGTCGAATAAAAAAAACCGAATCTATAATAAAAATGAAACGAATATAGTTTTTTAAATTCTAAAAATTCGATTAAAAATATAGTTGAATAATTCGAATTAAAATAAAAAAATATCTTGGGTAAAAATAAGCTTAAATTCAGAAATATCTCAGCTTTGAGTAAAAATAAGATTTAAATATCTCATAAGGTAAAAATAAACGCAGTCGAATCTTAGCACTAAAAAAACAGAGAATCTAGCCGCGTCGTTGACTTTCTCCGTCTTTGTAGCTCGTGGGTCCCATGCGTCATTTTTTATAATTTATATTTTGTTAAAATGGTTTCACATTATTACCGCTAATTCTGAGCAGCAAAATATCATTCGTAGGACCAGACTGTGATCGTATCCGTTCATTGTCTACGTCGAACGATTCAGACAATGAATCACGGCCGTTACATCATTGATTAATTTGCAGGGATTACTACCGTAGACATGACCGTATACGAACCGCGTTACGTGGCAATTCACCCTCAGTTGCACGTTTTCCCACTCTGAGAAACCGAGCGTGACTCGTCTTCGTAACGCCTAGGGCTGTCCCTGAGTCAACTCGAGACTCGGACCCGGTTCAGGAACTAAACTCGGAAACGATGTCACTGCTCTACCTCCATTTTTGTCCACTTTTTCTAATTCTATATATTGATAAAAATGCATACATAAAATTAATACTAATTCCTAATTTATTTAGATTAAATTAACTTATTAAAGATCAATGCGACCCATGTGACCTTCATTATCCACAGTCCAAACCTCTCTTTCTATCAAAATTTCTTTGTGGGTCACTTTGCCAAAAATTGGAATGTTGCATTTAAAGTTGTATTACATCATATCCCATATAGCACCCATTTTCACACGTTTTATTGCACACTTGTTTATATAACACAAGTTTTGTGGTCGAATATATGTACGTATAATTTTCTGATACATATATATATATATATATATATATATATATATATATATATATATTCTTCTTTTACATTTCTCATACATCCCTAAAAGAAAAAAGAGTATGATGCAATATGCATATTAAAGTTTGATATTGCAAAATAAACAAACGCACATTCTCTAAATCAATGATTCTTGTTATAATTTATTTACAATGAAGGGGAGGGTCGGTCCATGGTATTCCAAAACTCCACTCCTCTCGCAATCACGAAACCACGAAAGGATCGTCTTTTAGCCAATAGAGAGCTTAAGACAGCGTTTGTTGGCATCACTGAATCTGTCCCACTTCCCTTCTCCCTCTTTATTTTCCCTCCTTTTTCCCATTTCTCTCCTCCTCATATACTTTTCTTGCCTTCCTTGTCTTTTTTTTTTATTTACAATTAACAATCGCCACAATAATCCTTAAAGAAAAAGGAATCGATATTCGGATATATATATATATATATATATATATATATATATATATATATATATATATATACAAGACTATAATGGGGTCTAATATAATTTATGATCTTAGATAAAAAAAAAATATATCACATAATTATTATATATTTTATGCATTAATTTGTTTTTTCTTTTTTCTTTTCTTTTTCCATCTGCAAAGTTTCAGCCTTAATTTTTATTTATTTATTTATACAAAAATAATTGTGTATTTTTTATATAAAACTTTCAGAAAAATATTATAATAATTTAAAAAGCTGTATATAATTAAGATCATATCTTAGATATTTCTAGGAACTAATGAGGTCTAAAAGAAGAATGAAAAATTAGAGGAGAAATAATGGCGCATTTAGACTGAAAAAGAACATAATTTCTAAATTTAAGCAATAATGATATAGAAATTTATGAAAGCTGCTTTGTACTTCTTAACCATATGAGGAATGTAATTAAGTTAAAGTTTTTTATTTTATTCTATTGGTTTAAAGATAATGATCCCTTTTGCTGATGTAGAAATTTATGGTCCATTTTTTGCCATTTTCCCTTTTTCCTAAAAAATATAATATCCATTCAACAAAACAAAATTCAACTTCCGTATTATTAGAAAATAATTTTATTTCATAAATTTATGAAATAATTAGATAAGTTATTTCTAAAAAAATTATGCAATGATATTTATTTAATTTTCCAGAGCATGACTATAATTTTAATGTATTTGTTTTATATTAATTTGTTTGTCGAATATGCTTGGAGAATAGAGATGTCAAAATCAATCTATTTCTAAAAAGAAAATGACATCCACACACAACAACATATCTATTATCTGGAACTCTTTTTTAACTAGGAGGTTATTTGTTTATATCATATAATTAATTCTGATTAAGTCAAAATTAAGTTTGGGCTATGGGGAAGAAGAAACCCAAGATATTCTATGCATACTTTTTATTGTTGTATAATGAGTATAATGATATAGTTATTAGTGGTCTAAAATGGAATTAATTGGAATAATATTTTGATTATATTTGAAACTAAATTTGATTAAAAATAAAAGGATATAATTTTTAAGAACTAAATTAATTAAATTTTAAATCAACATAGAAACAATCCATAAAAGTCAATGAAAGTATTAATTTTTTTAAAAATAGAGTCAAAATAAATACCAAAGGATACAAAAAGAAAGAATTCCAACCGAAATTATATATGTATAATATGATTACATAGAGACTTATATATGCAGTATATTTAAAAACAGTAAGTAAAAACGAATAAATTATCAAGAATAAAAAAAAAATCAAAATAATATAAATTGATAATAGTTATATCGGTTGTGAAACCTTTTATATATAACTGCTAATAAGTTTAAATTCTGGTGAACATTGTAGTGTTAAACATGGTTTCTGGTACGTATTGGTAGAATAAGTTAGACTTAGAAGCCATATTTTCACAAAAAAAATAAAATATAAATAGATTACCTAAATATTAGCTGTGAATATATGTGAAATAATTGACAGGCATGTGACATTTTTTCTTTCTTTCTATGTTTCTATAATTTAATATGCGATTCACACGCAAAAAGATTATAAATATTGTTATATTTTCTCATCTGTTATGTATAATATAGTACATAGCATTCATTGTTATACAGGCGCCCTTAGCACTTTGATTTTGGAATTGACTTTGTAATGAATTATCTTGGAATATTATTGTTTTATAAAATATTAAATTTTAAAAAATATATCTCTGTAAATATTATAAACAATCTGTGTATAATATAAATGTATACATTTAACCCTTAGAATCGGCAGAAAAACAAAAATAAAATTTCATCTATACTTTGATATATTGCCTCACCTCTCCAAATCTCTTTTCCCCTATACCATATGTATCGACCAAATTAATAATTATCAAAACCCAAACATATACACAAAATCGAATATATATATATATATAATAATATATGCATGTATATTCCACAGCTAAATTCGAAACCCCCAATCGAAAAATAGAATTCCCGATTCTTGAAGATCGAGTAATTAAGAGTACCAATTCAATCCATGTAACTCGTACGATGTTCTGTAAAGCCCTTCACTTAGCATCCCTTGATGTTGCATCAATGGCGGTGTCTGCGCCAACATCGAAGTAATGTTCGAACACTCGCCCCCGTGGAACCGCTTGCTTGGCGACCCATCTGCCGCCGCAACCGCCTCCTCCTCCGCCGGCCAATACGGCGGGGGGAGAGGGCTTCGACCCGGACGAAGGAGCAAGATTCAGACCGATATTAGCGACGTTGTTCATCGAGGTGTCGTTGCCATTGCCACTGTTGATGACGCCGACGTCGTAGAGACCACTCGGGAGGTCGTTAACGTTGTCGGAGAACATTCCGAAACTGGAGAATCTCGCAGGGAAAAAGTTCATTCTCTCGGAGACATTGAGACCGGAGGAAATCGATGGCGGGATTTGTCGGAAGAACATATCATCAATCATGTCGTCCTTATCGCTATCAACATGTCTCCCCGTGTTGTTCTTCTTGTAGATTCGACATAACACCCAATCATCAAGCTACGAAAGATTGAAACAAAACGTCAGCCAACCGATCAATCAACAAAAAGTAAAAGGACCATAATCATTTGGACATGAGCAGTATACCCTAAGGGAGTTTTTCTTGTTGCCGAAGTTACAACCAGGGGGTCTGTTGATGGATTTGGTGTCAGCGAGGCGATACTCATGCATGATCCAATCGGTTTTAACTCCTTTAGGAGGCTTGCCGCCATAGAAGACGAGGGCTTTCTTCACTCCGACCTTCTGGTTTCCTCCGGAGGCCAAGATCGGCTTGTCAGTACCCGTGGCTTTCCAGTACCCAGAAGTCGCCGCCCTGTTCGGTCTCGCTCCGTTCGGGTACTTCCTGTCCCGTGGACTGAAGAAGTACCACTCCTCCTCCCCAAACGACGCCTTAGCTGCAATACCCATTTCTCAAAATTCAAACTTTTTTTTTCTTATACTGTATCATATATATGTATATAAAGTCTAGAGAATACACCTAGCTCCTTGTCAAAACGTGTGGTTAACAGCGTTTTCGTGAAGAATCTTTTGGTTATAACAAAAAAAAAAAAAAACGGACCAGGGAGTTCCCATGGATCGAACTTGTAGAGATCGACTTCGGCGATGATGGAGACGGGCAAAGGAACCGAAGCGGCTTTGCGTTTGAGGTAGTGAACGACGAGCTCTTCGTCCGTCGGGTGAAACCTGAACCCCGGCGGAAGATTCGGCTGTTGCGACGGCGGAGGAGGATGAGGGCCGCCGGAGGAATCAGTGCTCTCCATCGGACGGTGGTGATTCGATCTCGGGATTCTAGTAATCGGACGGTGGTGATCGGAGAGTTTGGGAGGTTGTGTGTTCGTGAGGAAAGATCATAGCTATGAGAAAGAGAGGTTTTATGCGTGTGTGCGCGCGTGGGGTTGAAGGTTTGATAGAAAATGCCTCGTAGAGTCGGCGTAACCGTTCTTTTAAATGGCCGCATAAAACGCCAAACGTGTGCAGGGTTTTTATTCTCTGGATTTTTCGTACGTACGCCGTATAATATATCATATATGTGTATTTGTTTGATTTTATTTAAGAATAAACCAAATATTATATATATATAGTATGCTTTGGTTAGGGTTTTAGTCTTTAACGTAATTCAAAACATTAAATTCAACATATGAATAAGAAGGATATGATATAATATCTATCTATATATATATATATATACTGGCATAATTTGACCTAGTTAATTTTATTTATGATCATGTTTAAGTTACTACAATTATTTCGTTAATTACCCAAACCTACAGCGCAGTTAGCTCTTCTTACAATACAAATTAATTAGTTCACGCGAGATTTCAAGTTCAAATGTGTATCGTACCGAAGAATTCGTATGATTGCTTATTAATGGGATTGGGGATTTGAATATTATATATATATATATATATATATATAATAAAGAATATGTTATAATGATTCAAATATGAAAAAACTCTATTGATATGTAATTTATTTCGATTATATATTATGGTTGGATTATGCATGTATGAGTACATGCATTATGCATAATATTATTCTATATATATTAAAAAACAAGGAAGCAATAAGCGTTAAAAATATCAAAGTGGTATTTAAACGAATATTATGTATACGCGTAACAAAAGATATTGTTATAACGGGTTTGTGATTGAAAATGGGTATTTCTTATAAAACCTTCATGTTTCCAAATTTTATTTCGTGGTATCTGTTTTTGCTACAAGAATCTGAGAAGCGACGAAAATTCGACACATGTGCAAGGCCTGATTAAATCACGTCGAACAGTGTAATTACTATATTAAGCAACTGATGATGGTATATTAGTAATTTCAACGCCTAGATAATTACTGTATTACCCATATATATCACAATCATAATAATGTATGTAGTCATGCATAAAGCACAAGAGACGAGCGGAATCTGGGATTAACAATGAAAGCAATGTATCATTTATTTCCAAATCAATTTTATTTAAGTTATTAAAAAATGAATTAGATATTTTATCAGCCACCGAAAAATGTTGATTTTATGTGGTAATGCTTAATTTTTAACAAAATCATAAGGAATTTAAATATTATTCCAATTATTTTTCTCTAAAATAATGTTTTTTTTTATAATGAATGCATGTCTTTTTCATTTTATATTTGAATAATATGACGGGAAATATGATGCTATAGATTTATATTATGAATAGTTTAGTGTGATAAATCATCAACTTGTCCAACGCTTAACGCCAATTCTTCACTGGCATAATATGCATGTGTGTTTTATATTGTTAATATTAACATTAGAGAAAATTTTAAAAATATGAGACATAAAGAATTTGTATTTCCGATCGATGATAGTGAAAAAGGATGATAAAATAAATCGACCGGTCTAATTATCTAACATTAGATCAAATCAACTAGAATAGATTATAAATTCAATTTAAACTGTTAAGATAATAACCATTATACTATACGCTAAATTTTCAATAATAATTTGTTAAAAGATCACAAATCCACTAAAATCATCATGATTGTCGTCATCTCTATTTTAATGAAATATAATCATATATTTTTATTGACAATACACTTTTTTATTGAAATTTAATCGTTTCATTTATTTAGAAAAAATATTGTTTATCATAATTGTGACATGATTATAAAATATAATTAGTAAAAAAAATGAATTTTTTTTTTCATAGATCATATTGTCCATTCATATGTTATTTTTAAAATAATTAACAATCTAATTGCATGACAGAAAGGAGGAAGAAATATTTTTTATAGTACAGCTTCAGATTTGGTTGTTAGTCCAATGGGAACTCGACACGTATAACACGTGAACGCAAATGGTGGCTGGGTCGAGTGGGGGCCCACACAAAGGTCACAAATAGATGATGTGGAAGCATGGGTGGGGTGATGTCATGCTTTTGTTATGCAAATCGCACCACCAAAACTTTATAATAAACTAATAAAAATTTCACGAAGGAACAAATCCAACCCATTTCATGTGATTATTAAATAAAATAACAATTATTCATCATATTATCATCGGAACATTTTAATAAATACATAGATTATTTATTTTGTAATTGATTGAATATATATAAATATTTAGTTTTTAAATAAAAATTAGAAGGTATACCAAATTCCTGGATATATTATAAATATCACCTCAATCTCATCTATATAATCTGAATACTCCAATTTTTTTTCAAATAAAATCAGATAATGAGGATGAGATAATTTAGGCCATCCCTATTATCATCTGCTGTTATAATCATTATAATTCTGGCCCATCTACACCCAAAATTACGTCATAAGCCATAGCATATAACATTAAATAATACATATTTTGTTTGTGTGCGCGTAAGATAATAAGGCATATATTGTAAAAGAATACATTTAATCATTGACTTATAGTACATATTTATTATGTTTATTTATGAATAATGATTGCATGGATTTCTAGAAACTATCTCGTTAATTTCTCCGATCTTGGTCAAACAAGGTTAGGTTAAACAATTTTTATCCTAGATTTTTATTAATTATTTTATGATGATTTTTTTTTTGTAAAACAAGATGATACATATTTTAAATTATTTAACTGAGTATATAAGATATTAAAAGCTATATATCTGGTAATGATTTGTATTCAATATAGATATTACTATATATGTGTAATATTTGTTTTATGTTTATCGAAATAGTTACAGTTGAAATTGAGGAGATTAATTCAAATGAGTTAAAAAAATATGAATAATGTACAAAAGTGGAGCCCAAGCGTTTGATTTCAATATTCGCAAATGGTTACAAAACGGTCGAACTTATACATAGGAAAAGTCATCCTAGCCCTTTATGATTTTTATTAAATTTTATAAAATGAAAAAAATTCATCACAATTTGCAATAAAAAATAAAATTTAACGAATAAAAATAATAAAATTTTGCCACAACAATGTTTGAATGCTTAGTTTTCTTAAACATTTATATTATTTATGTGACGGTATACCATATTGCTAATTATTTTTTAAAAATGTATGAAATATAAAACAATGCATATTTCTACTACCTAAAATTAATAGTTTATATATAGTTGTATCGCCGTAAAGAAATCACATAATTCAAATATTTTTTTGAAACCACATTATTTTTTTGGAATCAAACTTAAAAAAAGACATTCAAGATTTCTATTTACACAAAAAAATCTTTTACTTAAAATTCGTCATAAAAAGCCATCAACTATTAGCAAAAAAGACCATTAACTATATAATTTTTTTTAAACAATCTTTCACTTTAAATTTATTATAAAAAATCATCAACTATTAATTTTAATAAAAAAATTAATGATCTATTTATATTATTCAAAAAATATTTTAACTTAAATTATTATAAAAATTTATAAAATTTAAATAAAAAATATATATAAATTATACAATTCTAAAAATCATAACAAAAACATAATACTGATTTAAATTTATTATATTGTAATATTTAAATTTTATATAAATAATTATAAATATCAATGTTTATATAATAAATTTATATACAAATGTTATACTTCAAATTCACTATATTTTTATTGATTGTAAATATTATATTTAAAATTTTATTATATATTAATATTTGAGAGGTTGTAAGTTGAATACATTTTGTTGTTTATAAGTTTTTATATTTAAAATAGAATATTTTTTGAAAATTTCAAATAGTTGGTATTTTTTATTAAAATTATTATATAAATCTATAAAAAAATTTAAATTGATAATTTTCAATCTCTAAAATAATAGTATATACTAAAATTTTAAATATAATGTTTACAACCAATAAAATATAGTCAATTTGTAATCTCTCAAATATTAATATATATTTTGTATCTTTTAATAGTTGAAGATTTTTTACAATTAATAAATGATTATTTTGTATAACAAATTTAAAATGAAATATTGTTTTTAAATAATGTGTATAGTCAATGGTCTTTTTTGTTCAAAATTAATAATTGATGTTTTTTTATGATAAATTTTAAGTAGAAGGTTTTTTTTTGTGTAAATAGAAAACTTAAAAGTTTTTTTTGGTATACACCCTATTTTTTTTTCTATTGAAAATACACGGAGACAAAGAATCCCCCTATAAGTATGTGTTATTTGAGAATAATTAGCATTTTTTCATTTATTTATTTATTTATTATGTAAAATTCAGATTTATATCATTAGGATATGACTGCATTTAATTTATAGACTCAGGTAGTTTCGAATTAGGAGCTAAAGGAAGACCATAGAAAGGAATATTTATCATTAAATTACATATGTATAATTTAAATTTAAGAATTTCTGCTGAAAATGATTTCAATATATATAAAAATAATTTATTGAATATAATATTTTATTAATAAAAACTAAATATTAAAAAAAATGAGTAAAAAACTCAAATAAAATTCTGAAAATATCCAATAAAAAAGAAAATTCGATATTGATTTTAAAAATGAATTAAAAGTCAAAATCAAAATAACTCGAAATACATATATGCAGCTTAGGGGTCGAAAATGGGAATAGAAAAAAAAATGCATCATTGTCACATACACTAACAAACAAACGGACCAACTCACATAAATGCATGGCTCTAATTAATCTCGTCTTTTTAATCACATAAATTCGCATTAGATTTTTTTTAGTGCTACGCGTCGAACAAATCCGCTTTTCCTTTTCGATTTTTTTAGTGGGCGATGGACTTATAAACACTCCTTAAATTTTAGTTTTATTAGGTGTATCCAACTTTTTCCATATATATATATATAATAGAAAATCCCGATTTTGTATATCCGTGAATCGGATATTTGCCCATCGATATAAAGATTTTGGATATATCGACATTTGCATTTTCATATCTAAATTTCAATTGTCGCATGGTGATAAATCGTATTTAAGGATATATATATACATATATATATATATATATATATATATATATAGATATTTTTTTTTTATTTTTTTTGTTGAATTATATATTGATATTTTTATTCTCATTGGCTCTTGTTAGGCCGATGCCATATTCTTTTGAATTCCGAATGTATAAGGATAATGTTTTCTGCTATATCCTTTTGACGAACTATACTAATTTCCTTTTATTAAATTTATTTCCTAAGTTACATGTCATTGTATATTGTTCCTTTCTCATTTTTCGCTTTTGTTTTTTCACATAACGTTGCTCTAATAAATTTCAAAATATATTAATATTGTTTGAAACATAGATGATGTTATGTTTATCTATCATTATTATTAACAAAATACATAATATATAAAAAACATATAAATCTTGGATATCGAAAAGAAGGAAACAATAGTTATCCAAATTTGTGGTGAGAGAACATGCAAAGTTTGTTATTATCTCGAGTTCAAATTCAAACGTGGAGAGATATATTCATCCGAATTTTTCCGTTTCTCTGAAATATATAATTGGGTTAAAGACCGAGCGAACTTACGGATTATAAAAAAAAAATATATTTTGAGAGAGAACAAATATATTATGTATGATACCACAAGCTACTGTGATGGTAAGCCTAACTTGGAACTTTATAATATGGGTGTGGTCATATCCTATTGAATTTCCCTTGTAAATAAAAATACACGTGGTTATCAGAGATTCAAAAAACGACCAACTTTCAATTCTCTAAATCTTGGAATTGTGATCATCCTTACATAATAATTTTTGCACCCATTGCATGTGATATAATACAATACCTTTATTACCTTATTGGAAAATGTCTAACCATATCACATACATACACCGTTTTAATTAAACATATATATATAGTTGGATCGATATTAGCAACACCGAAAATGTCTAACCATTGATTATTTTGAATGATTTTTTACCATTCGATACATGAGTGCTGTAATGATCTAAACCGTCATTATATTCTAATTCGTTAACTTCTAAGAATCGATCTTAACCGTTAGTTCACTTACCAAATAATCTCAACCGTTCAGTTTTTGAAAGGATCTGGACCGTTCGATCCTGGGGATTGAACTCCAACCCCAACTGCCGATTGCAAACGTTCTGGACGATCTATGTTGTTTGATGCGAGAAATTCATCTTGACCGTTGATTCTTATAAATGATATCGTCGAAATTATCAATCGATCTCAACCATTAATATTCAGCAACGGTCAGAACCGTTAGATCTAAAAGAAAAATCCATGCACCGTTCATTTTTAAAACGATTTTAAACCGTTAGATCCAATAAATTAATCTCGACCGACAAAACCGGGAGAACATTTGACCTGCAAGATCTCCTAGATGACGTGTATCTTTATGATTGGTCCATGGTACGCCTTCCTTTTTCTTCTTTGGTCAATGTTAATTATGCTTAACCGACAAACCCGGGAGAACCGGTGCTGGTAAAAAAAAAAAAGAAAAAAAAAAACCTAAATGGTCACAGTGACCGTCAAATCAGCCGTTAGATCTAACCATTTCATTTGACTTCTACATTTTTATAGAGATACCTTTACAGTAATTTATCAGGAGCTAATCGCATGCAGTTCTCAATTATCTAATTAATTAAATATAATAATACATGTATAATCATCGTGAACTGTTTTTATTTATCCTTTTTTTTCGAATTATAGGCTAAATATATTTAATGATTGTTAATTAACAAGTATTTGCAATATGTCAAGTTTTCAACTTTAAACTAATTAAAAATTATTTTAGTACATCGTCTCAATGTTCAACTGTATATTCCGAATAAATATATCGGTAAAAAATTATATTCGTGCGCGTCTGTCTTTGTTTCGCGGTCATTTAATTAATTATGGCATTTTATTAATTAAAAATTTAAAATTAGTTCCTTGATTCCGACATCTCGTCTATTTAGGAACTGAGACAGCTTTTTTACAGATTAGTAGAGAAGAGAAATCACCGGAAGCTGCAGAGAGAGGGAGCTGTGAGACCATTTCCATGGCGTCGAAGCTTCTAATAATCACAGTCTTCATCCTCGATCTCGTAGCTTTCGGATTGGCCATCGCCGCCGAGCAGAGAAGAAATGTCGTAAGTTGCCCTTTCTCCTCTTCTGCATTGTCGTTTGCTCTGTTTCTCCCAACTCCTCTTGGAGTTCGTTGAATTGCTTTCACCGAATTATCCCGTTCTCGGGAGAGTGTCACACGCTTCAATCGCCATGACTCCTGTTAGGTTCTGTTCCGAGATCTGTGTCGGTGCTGATTTGTGTAATGAATTTTTTTTTTGTCAGATCTGGTGATTTTACGATACTCTGTCAAGTGTAACAGCAGCGCAATCTCTGATTTCTAATGAGTTGAAAAAACAATCCCATTTGTGTAATTCCATTTATGACCTAGGTTTTGGTTCTCTTTTGATCCTTAGCTCCCAAATTTTCCGAGAACTAGGGTTTATAGGGACTATAGATCTTTGTCGGTAAGTGTAAGCCATTGTTACAAAACGTCGTTATCTTAATGTGAGTATTGGTTGGAGTTGATAGATTTTGAAGGCTTGACAAAGTGATTCATCTGATTGGTTATCTTTGTTTGACAGGGTAAACCTCAAATGGACAAGGAAAAGCAATACCAGTTCTGTGTGTATGATTCGGACATAGCTACAAGCTATGGAGCTGGTGCATTCGTGCTCCTCCTGATCAGTCAAGTCCTTGTTATGGTGGCTAGTCGGTGCTTTTGCTGCGGCAAGGCTCTTAATCCCGGCGGTTCTAGAGCTTGCTCCATCTTTCTCTTCCTCCTCTGCTGGTAAACCATTCTCGCTATACTAAACTTCTTCTTGGATACCATTTTGGAATTCTAGAGGGAATTCCGGAATGGAAATCAAAATTCTCTGTATTGTTTTCCAAATGATCCACGAATACGGATGTTTATAGTGTAGAGCAAACCCTTGGCTTTGCTTCAGGTGATCGATCCTATGAAAGCACCAAAAGAAACATTTCGATTCGATTATATATACAATGTACTATGATCGGGTATGAAAGTAATAATCTTTCTCTTTCGACAGGATATTTTTCCTAATCGCGGAGATATGCTTACTGGCCGCATCCATAAGAAACGCATACCACACAAAGTACACGAGACGGTTCTTCGAAGATGCTCCGAGTTGCCAAGTTATCCGTAAAGGAGTATTCGCGGCGGGGGCCGCCTTCACTCTCTTCACCGCCATCGTATCTCAGTTCTATTACATCTGCTACTCTCGCGCCCGTGATGATTACCAGAAACCTCCCTACTAGATGAAGTGATCTCATGCAGTATGATGTTATTGGCCTTATATAGGATCGTGTCTGAAATTGGATTTGCTTGTTGTGATCGTTCAGTGTATGTCTGTTTGTGTCTGTAACTACATTTTGCATCAGAATGTGTTTTAATCTGTTGTCTGTTCTTGTTTTTTGTGTAAGTATCAATGAAGCAGAACATGTTTGGTTTTAATTTAAACGTTGAAAATCTAAATATTAAGTTTGTCTTTTGCTATTTTTATTCAGTTAATAATACTTCAGTATATAGAAAATTTGAGTGGACACGTTTTGTTTTGAATTTTGATGCGTAAATATAAACGGTGAAACGAACTATACTGTATAAATTTTGATGATGTTTTGGTATGTGAAGAGAATATTGTAAAATGAATTAAATTTAAGATTTTCTTATGTCGAAGTTTATGAATTTTTGAAAAATTAAATTTTGTTAACGAAAAGGATATGTAAGAAATTTTTAGTTTCTATGTTGTAGAAAAATTTTATATACATATGATTTAAAAAAGATCAGTGAGTTATAAAAATCCAAATAACTATACCAATTATTGTACATTTGGCGAAAATAGTTAATGGGCAAATGGAAATCAGTTTTAATATAAAAAAATGTGTAGAAAAATTACCGGGATACAGAAAATTACAAAAAAAAATACATCCCTGCATATATATATATATATATACTATAGATATACATATACATAAAAATATATACGTATACGCGTACACATATAGTTATATACACATACATACATACATATACATAGATTCACGCATATTATTACTGATAACATGCTGTACAGAATACACGTGGACACATTGGACCAAGGGTCACGTGAGTTCCTCGTGATCCGTGGAAATTTGACCATGCGTCTGTGTTCGACTTTATTTAAAGAACAGAGTATGTACCGAAGCAGAGTAAACGGAAATAACAGAAAAACAAAGGAAGATTCTGTTGTTACTGGACCTAACCTGAGACAGTGTCAAGTGTTTGTTGTCGTTACTCAGAGCTGGAAACCTGGAAACCGAGCTCCTGAAGGGTCGTTCATGTCGAAGAACAAGTAGGCCATTCCTCCAATGCCTTCAAAAATCGAAAATGGACGATCCCCTCCATGCATATTCCCTTCCGAGATCAGTTTCTCCGATCTGTCAAGCAGAAACGCAGCAAACGCCTTGGCTCGGTATAAGTACTCTGCTTTCCCCGTTACACGGTATAGAGACAGAAATACAAATGCGTTTCCACTGATTCCGTGACAGATCCCTACTCGTTTTAGCAATCCTCTGTTCCAAACGACTTCCCCTGCTTCCACCGCCGCCTCTAGAAACTCCTCTGTGCCGAAAACCTGATTGTTTGTTTCAGACATCGAGTTTAAGTTGAACTACTTCGATGAGAATTTCTTCAGACAACAAATTTTCAAAGAGAGTAGTGGATATTATATTACCTCGGCGGCTTTGACAAGAGTGAGAGCAACACCAGGAGCACCGTGACACCAGTGGACGAGGCGATCAGATTCATTGCCTTCGCTAGAACGGTAATTTCCACTAGGGAACCGATTCTTCATAATATAGTGTAGCGTCCCTTTGACGTCTTTGATTTCATCTGGTCTCAGTTCCATATGCATCAAAACATGCATGATCCCAGACAAACCATGGGCAGCTCCCCAATACTTCTTCCCGTGCCACTCGTACATTAATGGGCTTCTTCCTGTTCTTCCCAGTTGCCTTCCGCTACTGAAGATTTCCTCAACCACAGATCTCTGTGGGAATGATGGATATCAGATGGCAAAAAGATCCCGCGTTGAATTTATAAGTTCTGTTTTAAAAAAATAATGTTACCATTCTTGCGGGTGATACCCTCTCTTCACCGATATGTTTGTTCAAGAACAAGCATGCCCACAAGCATCCTGCTCTCCCATATAATAATTCGCAGGGCAAATCACTCGGAAGTCTGATCTGTTAAGATATCAGATTCATCAAGCGAACAAATTATCAAATCTAAGCTTCAAGAGTTGAATCCACAAGAGGGATGAAGAAAATGGCATTACCTCGTCAAAACGAGTCAAGTAATGATCGAGTAATCGGTCATCTCCAATATGCTTGGCCACAACAGCGCCAAGAGCACAGACACCAGCTCGGCCACATATGAATGTCACAGGCCTGATAACACAACACCATAACCAGGACTCTAAGCCCCATAACTCCAACCTAATACCTATGAAAACATAATCCGAATCTTTGCTCAGAATAGTTCTTGATTCTTTCATTAGATTACCCAGAATTTCTTGAAGCTGAGTCACAAGCCTTGATGATATCCGAGCATAACCTCAGGTCGTTCTCATTCTTGGTGGCCTGATAAGCTTTGAACAAGAGGAACGCTGTCCCGAGAGATCCTGTGTAGAGAGTATAGTCTTGAACGCGTTTCTCAGACAGTATCCATGTCTGCCTCGCCACCTAAAGCAGTGACCAGCAAAGAAGAAACTCAACAAGCAAATTGGGAAACCCCTATCATGTTGTTCAGACACGAAACATCCAATCCATTTCATATGGAAGTTGCACGATTTGTGCTGCATCGCTTTCGAAAATCTACCGAATTTCTGAAAATTGAAACATGATCAAACTAAAGAAGCCCGACATGGGTCTGCCTCCAACCACAACAACTAACCTTTACATGCTTGAGTTCCAAACGATCAACTCGAAAACTCCAAACGAACTCAAGAATCGACCATTTCCGCCCGACCAGAAACATAAGAAACAGAAAGAAGTATCAAATCGCCTTAGTGTTCCAGGAGTTACCGTATCCTTGAGATCCAGAGCATATCGCCGAAGTCTGTCGGAGAATGATCTGTAAGGAAGACAAAGGAGTTTCTCCAGCGAGTCTTTGGTTCCGGCTTCTATCTCTTCGCCGCCGGCTTCTGGTACGAATTCTGGTAATTCATTGGCAAAGAAGCGATCTCCCATCTCTCTCTCTCCAAGCTCTGGACTCTGGAGCAATCGAACAACCCAGAAGCTCGCAGTCACACTCTGACACACGTTCTACAAGTGTCGCTGCGACTGTGATGTAACGACACCTTTTTGAAAATTGAATTCTTTTTTTCATTATAAATGAGCCGGGTTATATTTTGGGCCTAACAAAAAATAGCCCAATAACGTAAATCGAAACCCAGGCCCATTTACGCTCATAAAATATGGAACGTCGTCGTTTTGGTTCTGTTATTGTCGCTTAACCCTCGCTAAAACCCTAGTGAGGAACCAATAACTTTGTATGCGCGAAAACTATGGGGAAGAAACGAAAGCACAGCGAAACTGAAGCTCCGGCGCCGGCGAAGAAGAACGAAGATGCTCCGGAGAGACCCAAACGGACCCTCTTGGGTTGGAAAGATAAGAATGAAGTCGCTGTGAAATCTGACCCTTCATCGTCTTCTGTATTCAGGAACAAAGAGAAGGTTCTCGTCACTTGTTCCAGGCGGATCAATTTCAGGTTAATGATGTTTGGAATTTTCCTTGATTTTTCTTTTCACTCACTGGGTGTTTCGTTTTTGGGCATGAAATGATCTGGTTTTTATTCGCAGGTATCGGCATCTGATGTTGAACATGGTCTCTCTTTTGCCGCACTGTAAGAAGGACAGTAAGGTCGAGGCCAAGAGCAGCAAAGGTGCGACTTTGAATGAGCTTGTCGAGCTCAAGGGTTGTTCTTCCTGTTTATTTTTCGAGGTAAATTTTGCATCTTCTTGGCACTTTTGCCCCCATGGTATTTTGATATTCGATTGTCTGGTCTCTGATGGGCATCTGATGGTTTATTAAATTTTGATTCGCTTCTTCAATTTGGGACGTGTGGATTGAAATTTTGTTACTGGAATGCATGATGATTAAGGACGAAGCTTCTCTTTTTTAGTTGAATTTCGAATCTTTGTATGCTCAACTTGTCTCTGGGCATATCAATGTGCTATCGATTAACCCTAAATCAAGTGGTTTCTCTTATTAGTTTCTCCTGGAAAATCGATTCTCATTGTTGATATGTGATTATCCTCTTTGTATTTTGCAGTGTAGGAAGCACCAAGACCTTTACCTGTGGATGGTCAAGTCCCCCCAAGGACCATCTGTGAAGTTCTTGGTTAATGCTGGTAGGTGTTTACTGCTCCTGGCTTTTAGTTTGGTACTGGCTACATAGCTAGTAGTTCTAGTCGTGATTCAGCCACTCTTGGCTGGTCAAATTGTTTTCCTGTTTTGTAACTTTTCACTATGTTGCCGGATTGTGTAATGTGCTGAATTGTTACCGTTTCCGATATTTTGCAGTCCACACAATGGAGGAGCTAAAGCTCACTGGAAACCATCTAAAAGGGTCACGCCCTCTGTTGACATTCTCATCCAATTTTGAGAAAGATGTTCACTGGAAGCTTTTGAAGGAGATGCTTATCCAAGTAAAACTTGAATTCCTCCTCTTTGCTTAATGATGATGATCTGTTCTTGCTTCCCCGCGAGTTTGGAGCTATAATCAGACCTCATATCCTAATGAATTTGTTTTTTTCCTCAACAGATTTTTGGAACTCCTAAGGAACACAGGAAATCAAAGCCATACCATGACCATGTGTTTGTTTTCTCTATAGTTGATGACCATATATGGTTCCGGAATTACCAGGTGGGTTTAGAACGTAGGATATGAGAGATCAAATGCTCTCAATTTGTTATAGATTTGGAACTTTTAGTTAACCTGCTTAAGGGTGTGTGTGTTCTTCTCGGATGCAGATATCGGTCCCTCATAACGAATCAGACAAGATTGCACGAGGTGGCCTGGATAAAATGACCCTTGTTGAGGTCGATGTTCAAGACTTGTTAACCTATATGATCCGTATGGAAGACTTATCTTTGTTTCTCACAAGAAAAAAATATCATCTATTGCAGGTTGGTCCAAGGTTTTGTTTAAATCCAATCAAGATCTTTGGAGGCAGCTTTGGAGGTCCTACGCTTTATGAGAACCCGCTTTATGTATCGCCGAACCAGGTACGTACACTCTAACCGTTTCCTTGGAAAGATCCAACAACGAGCCTTCCTCTGTCTTGTTCAAGAATCACGAATCTGCCTATGAATGATGGAACTGTGTTTGAACCATTCAGATAAGAGCAATGGAGAAGAGGAACAAAGCAGGGAAGTTTGCTAAGAAAGTGAAGGCGAAGACGAGGAGGAAGATGCATGAGCTGTCGAACCCATTGGAGCCCGATGAATTTGCAGGCATGTGGAAGGATGAATGAATCAATTTCCAGGAAAATCTCGGTGTTGGTACTTTCCCTGACATGAATCCGCAGACCATGTCTTTTGTTTGTCTTTGCCAAAACACTTGTAACCAAAGTGAGTGAAGTTGATTTTACGTCCATCATTCAATGTCCTAGAGAGTTTGCATGCAGTCTCTTTGTTTATTCATCGCGAATGATTAAGGGCTTCGCCTATAAGTGTGTGTGATCCCATTCAAAACGGGTGCAGCAATCCAATCGATTGGGAGTACATATGGTATTTCTGTAAATATTTTCAAACACTAAGGGCATAATCGTATTTTATAAGGAAAGTTCATACCAATTTTGAATCTCTCTCTCTCCGTCTAAAGGGAAAAAAATATTTCTGGGTCTAATGGGCTTCGTAACGGCCCATTATATGTCTTCCACAGCCAAAATCTCTTTCCATTGAAGTTGCAGCAAAATCTCCCTCCCTCTCTCTTCTTTTCCCCTTTTTTTTTTTTTTTGCAAACTTTCTATTATGAAATAAAGATTCACTGAAAGCAGATGGCTTAAACTTGCAAGTAAAAAAAGAACGATTCATTTTAACAGATAGCCCATAGTTACGGTCCAGCTTAAGCCCATTAAGGGCCCATAACGGTTAGAGGCGGTTTAATACCGACAAGCCGGTCCGGTTCACAAGAATTTGTGCGAACCGGGACTTATTCTCACATGTGAAAATCAAAACCGTTGACCGCATTCAGAGACGTGTGTGGTACAATTTGTTTCAACAAGACTTCGTTAGGGTTAAGCGAGGCTTCACCTCAAAGTCTTTCGTTGAACAAATTTCATCCTTTTTGAGCTGATTTCGGTGGTTCTCCTCTGAATCTCCGAAAATTCAATCTGGCTCTGCGCTCTGGTAAATTCCTTTCCCCTCTCTTTCCTTCCCTTTCTTCCGATTTTTTTGGTCGGTGATTCTGTTTGTGGCGTTTGTTTCTTGCGAGAGTTTACGTGAGAGCATCTTATTCCTCGATTCGTGTCCCGGTTTTGTGTTGTATGTGCCGCCTGAATGCATCGCTTCCGTGTTACGTGTGTATGTATATATATGCATATGTGTGTGTGTATGTATGTATAACAGCAATTATTTAATCAGCCTTCGTATTAATGTGCTTTTAGACGACCAAGCAGGAATTCAGAGAAACTGCGACGAGAAGAAGAAAGAGGAGACGGAACCTAAAAGGAAAAGGTTTTAATTTTTTTTTTTGTTAAGGTAAAGCCGAAATACTCGTTGTTCTCTCTGTCGTTGTTTTGCCTGAAAATTTTGATCCATGATTTTTGTATTAGGGTCTCTTTGCGAAAAAAAGAAGAAGTCTTTTTCAATTGGATAGTAAGAATTTGATTCTCTGCAAGCTTTATAACAGTAGTGTATTGATGGGTTTACTTAGATAATTGAAGGAGAGATGGATAATGAATCGGTGGAACTCAGCCAAGGGGAGGCCGAGGAGGAGGAGGAATTCGTTCTGCTGAACCTCGACGAAGTTTCTGGGCACATTGACATTCCCAGAAACGCCCCATATGTTTTATCAGTAAGTTACTGTGATTTGTTTCCTGTTAGTTCTTGTTCTGCAATGGGGACCTGCTGCCAATTCGCTTGTGGCTCTAAGCTTCTGTGGTTTATTTCTTGTTTGTGTTGCTACAGGGTTTGGATTCTTTGAACCCTACATTGATCATAGATGGGAAAATCAAGTTGGTATGTGGTGATTCTTAATGCAAATTTCTTTCATTAGTCCTCATGTGCAAAAGGGTTTCAGCTCTGTGATATTCTTGATCGGTTAATCTGATGCCCCTTTGCTTTTCCAAGGTTGGAGAATATATGGAGACGATCGGTACTTGCCTTGCTTTCACCGAAAAGGGTTAGTTTGATTCTTTATTTCATTGCCTTGCCTTTTGTTAGTCTGAGACTGGTTTGGCACAGCGGTAAGCACTTGCCGTGGGGCCTGTGGTCGCGGGTACGAATCAATATCTCTACATAAAAGTAGGGTAAGGCTGCCTGGTATATTCCCTTTGCCCCCACCTTACCAGGTGGAGACTCGAATTGGGTTGGTCCTTTATTGCCTTTTGTTAGTCACAAACATCATACTGATATAATCTCTCAAATTTGATAGTTCAATTTCGGTAGGTCTGTTAGATTAGAGATCTTACAAGTTTCTCTCTTAAGATGTTAGGCTAATGGTAATCTCCCAAGTCTCTGTTGCTTCCATTCTCTTTCATGGGTTTTATTTCTTGAACACTGTAAAGGCAAGACCAAGATCCTTTTCCATTATCAGAACAGCTGTTACTCGTTAGATGCCTGTTCTGAACAGAGTTACACTGCTTCGCCCGATGCTATGGCGTATTATATTGGCTTGCTCTGGATGCAAATCTGATTATTCCGTTTTTTATATGTGCCATTGTACTAATGAGACAAGGTGGCTTGGCTTCCCTATTTTTGCAGAAGTTGCATCTGGAGAAAATCAGACAGCACAGAAGCAGGTGGAACCAGTAGCCAAACTCCACAAGATTCTTAAATTTAGGTTAGTTCTTGACAATGACAATGACAACGGCCGTGGAGACGCAAGCTGAAACCAAACCACTTCGGGTCTGACAGAGAGACAGATTGGAGACCGAGTCTCCGCACACCAAGGCTCTGGATTTCGCTGCTATGTTCTAATTCTCATCGCTAGGTGGTGGTTATAAATAATCTCACAGGGGCATGGTTTGCATTCCACCAAGGGGAAAGAAATCCCGTACATAGGACAGAAACAAAGTGGCATTGGCTCTCCAAGAAGGGCTGGCTAGTGTGTCATCCGAGCAAATAGTTAATGGTTGTACAGAGAAAAAATGTGTTTTAGAGGCAACTTACATATATATATATATATATATCTTTATTGTCACTACCTAATTCAAGGGGTTATAATCCAACTTCAAACACACAAGATTAGGAAGTAGTACTTTAAGAAAGAACCTGGTCAATCTTTTATACTATTATTACATAATAAACAGACAATTTAGTTCGGGATCTTTCTATGGAGCAGGTACATGCATATATGTGTATATAGTCCCGTACTGAAGTGCTTTGCAAAAGTCTCCCATGAAATTTCTGTGTCGCAGAGGTTTGGACTCCAAATCCCCGAACGAAGCTGCGACTATCTTCTCTTTCTATATACACATGTTATTCATTTGATGTAAGTTTTACTTACAAACGCAAAGAAACTCAGCAAAAATTGGAGGCCGTAGCTAAACTAATAATCTGATAGATTAGCTGTACAAATGAGACTAACCTCTCAATAATCATACTTCTTGAGAAAGAAAAAAAAAGGAAAGCTATCCATTCTTGTATCAGATCTCTGCATATTCACCTGTGGGAAAACCATCTCCCTCCCCCCCCCCCCCCAAAAA